CACAACCCCAACCCCCCAATTTTTGCTAATATATGCTGAATCTTTTTCCTTTTTTCTATCCTTTCTTGGCAACCGGATAACAGGGCACATCAAGGCTTTGGATGGGTTGGAGAATGGGCTAATAGCGGGTTAGTTGTCCATACTTCTCTGTCGTGAACATGTTCGATCTGGATAACAATCTTCAAGAACATAATATAATCAGGGGCGGATGCATATACGTAAAAACTCACTAAAATTTTAACAAATATTAGGTTCTGAATCCGTAATTTCAAAAGTACAATGAGTTCAGCTAAGAACTTCAAAAGATTGAATCCATCAAGTTTAAGTTTTTGATCTGCTTCTTACAACATTGTTCATCTTTCAGAAGCGATTCTGGCAAGAAGACCCCGGCACAAGTTAACCCTATTCGGTTACAAACACTCTACCATGCAGACAAACAGAAAATGGACTACCATGTCCTCGAACTAGTGACGTGGCTTCACCGTCTGATCAGTCTGGTAAGGTTTAACGGTACCAAAGCTTTCCCCACACGATCACCAACACGCAAAGGACTTGTTCTGGAGACAGAGACTATGAACACTAACCCCAAAACACCTAAGGTCCAGATTTCTCTTGAAGATAGAAATTTACTAGATAAGGTTATGAAAAGGAAATGTTTGATTCCCGGAAGAAGCAAAAGCCAGGAATTTTTGTTGCCCAAAAATCGGAGACAGGTGTGGGCGCTAAGTAGAAGCATGGGTAGCTCACCTTGTACTGATTTTAAACATCCAAAGGGTAATGTTTTGGATATATTAGATGGCTTAGATTCAGCATTTTGAATTCCTAAACAAGATTTCAAGCCAAAAGTTCATTTTTTTTGTTTTCTTGATTCTTAGCTACCTCCACTTTTTCTGGAACTACAGCCTCTTGTATATAGTCCATCATATGGTGGTTGGGAAATTGTAATATTGTAGCATATATTATTTTGGGATAGTTTTCTTTTTTAATCAAACTACATTTAGATTCTAATGGAAGTGATTGTTCAAGGGTGATAGGGAATGATGTTTATTGGGCATTTTGTAGCCTGACCTTACTAAAACTGTTGTAATTTTCTATGTTTTTGATAATATGAAGTGCAAAGACAAATATATGATTGGCAATAGGCTATAGCGCTTACTCCCGGTAATTATATTGAAGCGCGTAATTGGTTAAAGGTCACGAGACATTTCAAATAAAAAGAAGATCCCGTTTATTTATTATCCTTTATTTAGAATCTTAGTCTATTAATTTTTTTTATATTCAGAATTTAGATCTTTTTTGTTACTGGTCTAAGATTGAATTCCACTAACCTTATTCAGTTGCCAGTGAATAAATGATTACTGATATATCCAATCACATATACTAATAAATGATACCAGGGTTATTTAACATGTGTTCAACTGAAGCTAGTTTTTTTTTTTTTTTTTTTTTTTTTTTTTTTTTTTTTTTTTTTTTTTTTTTTTAAAAA